GCTTCTCCACAAGACTCGGCTGCACACCCACCCACCAGCCACCAGCCACCAGCCACCACCCATCACATGCTGAGCCGGGGGCTCAGAGTGGCTGAAAATGGCCTAGACATAATAGATGCCTATGTTTCCTCATGCGTTCACTTCCTTTCCCAGCCTAGCCTACATTTAGCAGTTTTATTGTCTAAAAATGCTGTCTCCTGTGGTCTGTTAACCTCTATTCTCTCTGGCTTGCATCTGGCTCCTGACCAGCAAGCCATGTGCATTTCATTTCTGCACCAGTATTGGTGAGTTTCTGCTCCATCTCTCTGTGTCTCTTTTCCTCTTCTTGGTGGGCATGGAAGGCAGAACCCCAGTCTGTTTAGGTAAATTCCTAGCCAATCAGATCCTGGGGCTTGGAGTCCAGAAGCTACACCCACGGTGGTTTGGACCTTAGCACAGAAAAGCCAGAGAAGCAGGCTGCTCTGAGCCCAGCCATGAACATGCACTGTGCTCTTAGGTCCTTTCTCCTAAGGGAGTGAAAGTAAGTTATAGCAGGTAATTGAGGAGGGAGGTAGATCTTCCATTAGGGGATTGCTTTGGGGTAAACTGTATCCTCCCCAAGTTCACATGTTGAAGCCCTAACCTTCCCCAAATGTGACAGTATTTGGAGATGGGGTCTTTGGAAGGTGATGGGGTCTTTGGGAGGTAATTGGGTTTAGATGGGCTCATAAGGATGGGACACCAAAGGTGAGATTAGTGTCCTTATGAAAAGAAGTGAGAAGAGAGCTCTCTCTCTCCCTCCAGTCTCTCCCCGCTACCTCCTCTCTCTCTCCCATGTGAGGACACAGCAAGAAAGTGGCCACTACAAGCCTTCACCAAGAATCAAATATACCAGCACCTTGACCTTGGCCTTCCCAGCCCCCAATCTGCGGTATTCGGTTATGGCAGCCTGAGCTGACTGAGACAGGGCCCCAGAGCCTCCCTCTTTTCCGACGGAGATTAATAAACCACTTCCGTCAACTCTACTCCATCCTCTTCTCCAACCTCAAAACAGAACAAAACGAAAAAAGAATGCTATTAATTATTTACTAGAAGCCGTGTTTCAAGGCAATTAGTTGTCTGAGTTCCCTTCAGGTGGAGCAGAGATGGCTCTGCTGAGCGTTCCTACTCAGGGGGGCCTTTTCCCAGCCCGACTCGCGGCAACCCTGAGAGCAGCCTGGAATGAGATGCTGGGGAGGAAGAGATGGGTGTGGGAAGTATTTTTGCCCTGAAACCCATAGTTAAAAGACCACTTCAACCCTGACTCTCCTTCTGGTCTCTCTTTCATCTTCCTTCTAGACTGAGTCGTGCCCAATCCTTTTCCCCTGCTTTCGAGGCTCACTCTTTCTGCCTTCTCATCCTCAGCAAATTTAAGCACCGGAGTGGGCTTCCTGGCTGCTGGCGGCACCTGGAGCACCTTGGGAAGCAGGGAACCGGGAATGAGGGGGTGGGGTCAGGGAGCGGGCACACGTGTCTGTCTCTCCGGTATCACTGCCGCCTGCCTGGTCCCCGCTGGTGGAGAATGTGCCCAGCCCTGCAAACGAACAGTCTGTTCTCGTTGCTGTTACATTTGAGATAGAAAATAGAAAAAAACTATACAATAATCACATTGAAAAGCTGACCCCGCCTGGCCTCCCCTTTGGTTTCTGTGTGTAAAATGGGGCGGAAGATGGGTCGCAGGCCAAGGGATGATGGGGAGGGAGGCTGTGATATTGAACAGCTCCATGTGACCGTCCTGGGGGTTGTCTCCTTGCTCCTGGCTGGCACAGGGTGTAATCCACCTCCCACTCCAAAGTCTCTCTGGCAAAGTTCTGCAGTAATGCTCTCTCACTGGCTCTATGTGTGGGATGAGAGGCTAAGAAAGTGGTCCCGTTTGGGGCTTAGCAAAGGTTTTTCTACAAAAAGGGTGATTTTTACACGCACTTCATCCACTTGGAAAGGGAGAAGGGGCAGGGGAAGCAGAGGGACGCAGGCCTTTCCTTCTCTTTTGAAATGAACTGTGCTCATCTCCATACCCCACCCCGCCTCAAATTTACAGACTGGAATGGACGGAGAGAGCATCTCCAAGATGAAGAGCCTTCTACGCGCCAGCTCTGGGGATGGAGGGAGATGGGATGGAAATGAAGGAGAAGCCCCAGATCCTGTCCCGAGTTTTCCGGGAGATCTGTACCCACAGACTCAAATTGAAAGGGGCTGGATTGCATGAGGGCGGCAGAAGAGGGCCTGGGAAAGACACGTGGCCCCTCCCGATGTGACACCCACTGTAACTGCACCGTTTGCAACCTCTAATTACACCGCTGCTGGCAAGAATGAGGTCATGCTGTCTGCAAGTGACTTTCTCAGTAACGAGCCCCTCTCAAAGTGGCAGTCTCCCTGCTCAGCTGGCGAAACTCTAAGATAGTTCGTGTGTGTGTGTGTGTGTGTGTGTGTGTGTGTGTGTGTGTGCAGGCCGAGGCCAGAAACAGCCTAAGATGGATAGAGACAAAGATTTGCTGGAAGGGTACCATCCTCGCAGCTCTCTAACAAGCAGGCATGCCTGGAGATGTCCTACACAAAGGGACAACCTCCTCCCTCACCGCAGCCACTGGTTGGTGCCCTGCCCTGGCCTTTGGGAATTAAACTCCCAGAAGAAGGTGTATGGGGTTACACATGGTTGTGCAAACATGTCTCTTTCTACAAAGAGAACAAATGCCGTTCGGAGCCTCCAGTTCAGACTCCTGGCTGCTGAAGTCTGGGACTGGACATGAAAAGGGTAGGTGTTTGGGTGGATGTGAGCTCCCGCCCTCGGAGAACAGAGATACAGCCTTTCTGCTGGTCCTTTGCTGGCTGAGGAGAGGTCCCTGGTAAAGCTGGCTCTCAGGCCCCCTCTGTGAGCCAAGAGTGTAATAGCACCGTGGAGACAGCTGTTCTCCGAGGTCTGGGAAGGGCCTGCGCTCTGGGAGGGGGCAGTTAGAGCAGGCAGGGAGTGTGCAAGGCCCCAGCTGGGCATCCCTAAGCAACTGGCAATGGCATGGCCAGTAAGACGAAGGAGGGCTGGCCACACTTGGGCCACCTGCCCCCAAAGCCCTCCCCTTTACCAGTCAGCCAGCCAGAAGGACTTTGGTCTGGGATGGAGCACACGTTGCCAGGGGAAAAAGTTGCAAAATGATGTTCGAATTAGGCGATGGAAGCATGTAGGGAAAGTGGGCTGGCTTCTCAGCTGTTTTCAGAAAATGCCCATGGTTCTTTTTCCAAGGCAGGTGAGATGGGAATATAAAAGTAATGAAACGTCTGCAGGGCTGTGGCCGCTCCACAGCAAGCAGGAGGGGTGCCCTCGGGGCTGCAGTGGGCCGCCAGGGAGACAGAGGAGAAACGCGCTGTGCCCACAGGTGGAATCCAGTGGCTCTCTGCTCCCAGCAGAAACACCAAAGGGACAGGGAGACTCCACGCGGCTCCGCAGGCACAGTGCCGGGGAGCATGAAATGGAAATGTTTTCGTTTCTTTTAAAATCAGAAGAAATCAATGAACTTTTAGGTTGAAGAAAATTGTTTTAATATGTAATATTAATATATTTGTGCCAATGCAGTCATAGATATTATTTTAAATATATATAGATAGATTTCTTTTTTTTTTTCTTTAATGGAGGAAGGGATCCATGGAAGCAAAGCTGTCTAATACCCAGGAATGTTTAACTGGGTCCTGCAAACCCCAGCTGGCCTTCTCCCTCAGCAGGGCTGCTGACTCCTGTGGTCCACAAGCAAGGAAGCCTCCGAGCTTCCTTTTTATAGCTTCCTCAATAATTTCCCATTCTTCTACCCTTTGCAAGCAGAGCTCAAAAGGAAAAAGAAAAAAAGAAACAAAGAATGCATATGCCTTGGCACCAACTTCACTTTCTCACTGTCTCTAAGTCCCAGGCCTCTCCTTTGTCTTGCTCTCCGCCCTGAGCGGTTCTTTTGAAAGCCTGACCTGGGAAGGGGAAACTGGAATCAACCAGTTGCCCGAACCCCTCTATCCAGTGCCTCCCCCACCCCTATTACTCAACGTCCGGGAAGGGTATCGGGGTTCCTGAGACCCGGGGAGAGAGGTCCGATGAGGCCTTTGAGAGCGCGGTGCGGGGCCGAGGCTGGAAGGGAAGGCTGGCCGAGAGAGCCGAGGGGCTCTGGGCGCATCCCGCCCCGGCCAGGTTCGAGGTTGGCACTGCTGCTCTCCCGCGGCTCCCGGAGAGGCTGGGCGCCCGCGGCCGCGCAAACGGCTCGTGTTTCCACGGGGCTCGCTCCCGGGCCTGGCTCGGAGCCGCCGCCGCCGCCGCCCGCCCCCCCTCCCAGGGCGCAGGCTGCTCTTCAGTCGCGGCCACGGGGTAGCGCTCGGCCCCCCTCGCCGCGTCTCCGCCTCCGCCTCCGCCGCGCTCGTCCCCGGCTCACGCGGCCCGCGCAGCTCCCGCTCGGCTCAGGCAGGAGTGGCTCTCCGGACGCCGAGCCCGGGAAGCCGAGGGCGGCGGGTTCTGCGAGCGAGCGGCCGAGGCGGCCGGCGGCGCGGCCGAGGCGCTGGGGCGGGCGCGGCGGCCGCTGCTTCTCCTGCCCGGGAGGTCGGCGCGCGCCGGGCGTCCGAGGAGGCGCCGCGCCCCCGGAGCCGGGGCCGCCCGCCAGGCTCTCCGCGCGCCTCGCCGAGAGCTCCGGCCGGGGAGCGGCGGAGGGCAGAGCCGCCCGGCTCCAGCCTCGGGCCAACAGGAGGCTCCGCGTCCGGGCGCCGGCGACAAGCCCTGGTCGCCGAGCCCAGCAGACGTCCCCGCCGCCCCGCAGCCGGAGCGGACATGGGCTCGCGGGGCGGCGCGCCGGGCCGCGGGACCCGCAAAGTTTGCTAGCCCGCTGGGCGCGGAGCCGAGGGCGCGCCCGGGCCCGGCGTCCCCTGGAGGGACCGAGAGTCCCCGGATTAGGCGCCGGGGCGGTGGAGCCGAGAGAGGTGGTTCGGCCCCGCCAGATGCCGCCTGCAAAGTTAGAGAGAAGAAAACTTCAGCTCCAGGGAGATTCGGACCGCTATGCTTACCGCGCCTCCCGAACCCGGCGCCCCTGAAAGAAGCCCCGCACCCGCATCTGCCGCCGCACTCGCCTCTCGCGCGGCCCCGGGGGCCCGGCGCCCGGATCGGCGGTGACTGCGTCCGCGCGGAGCACCCAACCAGGGGGCGGGCAGGGGGCGGGCAGGGGGCGGGCAACGTGGCCACGGGAGGAAGTTTCCTTAAGTTGTCGCTTTATTCCGGAGCCCGGCCCGCGACCCGGTCAGATCGGTGAGGCCGCCTTGCCCGGTAGAAGAAGTCGGAGTTGGGGTGCCAAGCGGGGAGGTGCCCCGAGACCAAGAGCGGCTTCATCCTCCTCTTTGCTCGCCCCTCGCCTTCCCGGAGCGCCGCGGGGATCGGACTTGTACTAAAGAAGAGGAGGAAGGGTTGGGGTCGCCAGCGTCTCCCCTCCCCGGTGGATACCGCTCCGGGCCGGAGCCGCGTAGACAGCCTCCCGGGACGTAGCCACGGGGTACCGGACCTCACCAGGATTATAAAACTGTTCGGAAGACTAATCCCCCGAAGAAAAGGCTGGTTGCCATGTGGGGACCACTGATCTGGACTCTGCTGGCCCTGCACCAGATCCGCGCGGCCGGAGCCCAAGGTACAGTGCCACCCCCAGTGGGGCTGGGGAAGGGGCGCGGGAGGGGCGCGGGGAGGGGCGCGGGAGCTCGCTGGCCTCACGGTCGCCTCCGGGACCCCGGGCTTGGCCTGGGCAGAGCCCTCTCCCGGGAGTTTCAGGCCCCTTTCCCCGAGTTTGGGGGCTCTCTTTGGGGGGCTGGAGCGGTCTTGCTGAGACTTGTGACTTCCGAATAAGGGAAGGTGGGGGTCCGTGCTGGGAGGCGTCGCTCGTGGAGCCTAAGAGGAGTCGGGGGGGGTCGCTACCCCCCCACCCGGGCTGTGGGTGCCCTCGGGCTGGTGTGGGAGGGGCGCGCCATTCCGTGCCGGGCTCAGCGCCCGGCTGCACCCTGCTCCTCAGGCCGGGCTCCTGGGTCCCCGCTCGGTGTCCGCGGGGAAGGGCAAGGCCCTGCCGGGCACGCGCTGGCCGCCCCGGGGCGAGGCAGTGGGGCGGGAGGGCGGCGGGAAGGAGCCAGAGTAGAGCGCTGGGTTCCTGGATGGTCGCCCCGGGAGGGCAGTCTCGGGGCCTGGCCAAGTCTCGGAGCCCGCGCCTGGCTGCCTGGCCGGCCGCCGGGGCTGGGGGTGCTTCGCGGTGCTCGTCGGAGGCGAGGTCTGAGGCCCTCTCCTCTCGCGCCCACCCCCTCCCCTCCCCCGCCCCCAGACACACTCAGCGTCCCGCCTTTGCCTCCAGCTCCACTGGCCGCTCCAGTGTCTCTGCCGCCGCCGCTCTGACCTGTAGCTGCCTGGCGCAGCCTCAGGGTGGAGAAGGGCTGGTGGGTTTGGGGTGGGAGTGCTGGGAAGGAGGGGGAGGCGTGATCGATCCGCCCTGCCCCCGCTCCAGAGGGCGGATGCCCAGACATACCGCCAGTCCTCGGGCAGGTCCCAGCGGGGAGGGCGGCTGCACCCGTGCCTCCTTCTTGCCTTCGGTGTTCGCAGATCCAGACAGCAGTGCCAGCGGTGTCCGAGCGGCGCCTGCTGGGGGCGGCGGGAGACGAAGCCTGGACTGAGCTCCAGGACTCCCAGGGCTTGGCCTTCCTTCTTCCAGGCTCGGGAGGGGGCCTGGACCCACCCAGGGGGCGCCGGTCTGCGGAGGCTGCAACCTCGAAAGGGCCCCACCCCATCTCTGGAGTCCCAGAGTCGCAGGGACTCCAGTGAGCCCAGCGTCAGGCATCCCAGAGAGGCAAGATCAAACAGATAAAAATAATCAGCTCTCACTCACAGGGTGGAGAGGAGGATTTTACAACGTAATTTGCGTTAAAGCGCTTAGAAATTTTGTAACGGGGCCCCGTAAAGGTAAGGTAATAAAAGTTATTATTTTTATGATCATCATAAAATCTTCCTGCAGGCAGGGACTTCAGAGGTCGTCTTATTCTAGTAGCCATTTAACAGATGGGAGAACTGAGGTCTAGGGGCATTAGGTGACTTGCCAAAGGCTGCTGGGTGATCTGGGGGCGGGAGTCTGGACTGGGACCAGGTGAGTTCTAAGCCCCTCTCTCCCTGGAACTAGGACCATCTGCAGGTGGGGTGGGCCTGCTGGGACGGGGTCCTTCTTCTAAGGGTCCAGGGGGAATGTGAGGCTGGCAGAATAGAACAGGTTAGGCCTGGGGCACCTCGCAGATGTGTTCTGAGATGTCCATGGGGTCACTAGCTGAAAGCCAGGCGACTGGGAGGACTCTGAGGGGTGTCCGTCTCTTATCTGGCTGCTTCTGATTTCATTACTGCACAGACTCCAGTAACCCCACGATTTCCCTGGGCAGGTGGCTCGTTAGTTCTTGTCCCATCCAAAACCAGGCTTGTAAGGAGTCCCCAGGGCACCTGAAGTTCCTTCCTTCTGGGTCAGCAAGTCGTTTCCATGTCCCACCTCCACACCTGTCCCATCCACCGAAGTCCAAGATTCCACGCGGCCGTCCTGCTGAAGTTCAGGCCAGGCCACCTCCTGTCCTTGTGCTTCCAGAGGGAGGGGCTCGCCCTGTCAGAAGTGGTGAAGGTCTCTCTGATTGATTCACTCTCTCTCCCGCTTCTCTTGTTTGCTGCGGGCTTGAGTGTGGCTGCCCAGGTTCCCTGCTGCTCCGTTGTGTTCTCTGGCTCCAGAGAGAGTGTTTTCCAGCATCCATCGGGTACTCTCCTTCCATTTGTCTCCAGGGCGGCAAACCATGCAGAGGATTATGGGAACTTGGTCTCGGCCCAGGTCTGGGGGCACTGTTGCGTTGTGTGTCGGGGAAACAGGGTCAAGCGTGGGGTTCCAGGGGGTTGTTTCTCGTCTGCTTTGGGGTTAGAGAGTGGAGTCTCTCCTTTGCTTTTTTCTCCATTTGCTTTGCTTTTGAGTTTGAGGCGATGCCGTTAACCCTTTGGGGTGGTTAGAGCCACTGGCACTGTGTGTCACTTCTGAGCCCACGAGCCCCGTTCTCTAATGATGATACAGAGTGAGGGACCAAGCAGTCTTCCTCTCTTGGGACAAACCTCACATTGGCTGCCAGATTTATCCACACAACCGAGTTTTTTTCAGGTGCAGAACCTGGGTAACACTACCTGTTTATACTGAAAGCTACCATGTGATCGTTTCCCCTGAAACGTGATGTCACATGGTTCCCACTCTTTCCCCAAACTAAGCGCAGGGGTGTTGTAGAGAGAGCAGAGCACGTATGAGGATACCAGGTATTCAGGGGGTGCCTAGCAAGTGCCTGGCACGTAGAAGGTGCTTAATAAAGGGTAATTGTTATTTTTGTTGTTATTATGATTCTTTGTACACTATTAGCCAAGGGGCCACGAGGAGTGGTTCCTGGGCACCCACTGAAAAGGCCTTGAATGCCTTTTCCTCACCCAAGACCCTTCTCTGACTCCCTTCTGTGGCCGCATCACCATGACCCAAAGCGGCCCTCCAGCGCTCCCGATCCAGACCCCCAGGCATTCGGATTGGAGGGTGTCTGCATTTTAACAAGCACCTCGCGAGATGTTTCACGTGCCACTGCTGGTGGACATCTCTCGGAGGCTGGGAGGCTGGAAGGAGGGCGGCAGAGCCCAGCCAGCTGGTCCAGAAGCTTCTTTCAAGTGGACAGTGCCTGGGGGAGGAACAGAGGGGAGTCTGAGCTGAGGGAACCAGGCAGGGGGAAAACCCTGAACGGAGATTGGGAAGCCCAGCCCCGGAGGATCCCGAAGGCTCCAAACGGAGAAAGTTTACTGCTGGGAGGTGATCACAATAAACGCCAAACAGTACTCAAGGGAGTGGGATGAAAGTTTAATGCTGTGGCTAAGCTATAATAATTAATTACTGACAGCAAAAAATAACTTATCGATCAGGGCTTCATACTCATTACCACAAGGCCGACTGGCGTGCTTGCCTGCGGCTCAGCTGGTATGTGTCAAGAGCCCCCGCCCCATGCAAGGGCGGCCCCAGGGGTGTCCCTGTTCCCTACCTCCCCTTCTCCCAGGGCCAGAGAGGTGGCTCTCGGCCCCCAAAACCCCTCGCCCTCGCCCTGTGCACCCCAGGGCTTCAGCTGGGCAGTCTGGAACATTCTGGCTGTGGATTGATGAGTGACACCGTTTGGTGCTTGTATTGGCCGCAGAAGATCACCCCTGCCTGGGGTGGACAGACTCAGGACCCCCCAGCCCAGAGACCAAATCATGCTGGCAGCCTGATACCTGCCTCAGAAACTCTCCCTTTCGTATATTTGTTCGGCAAATATTTATCGACCGCCTCTCCTTTATGTCCTCTGCTGGAAGGCCAAAGTAGGGGCCAGGAACCTTGTTCCGTCGGGGAAGGGAGGCTGGGAAAGAGGCCAAGTCCTTTACAGCAGTTTTCTGTTTAAACAGTGCCTGAACGGCCGACCTTAAAATAATGTGTTAAACTGCATATTGGTGTGCACTCGACCTTGTCCCACAGGACACAATTGGGCTGTAAGCTAAGCGGTAATAGAGAATGAGCTTGTTCTCTGTCCTGAGGACTAACATGATCAGTACGTTTGACTTGAAAGAAACATGAAAAATCATCTAGTGCTGTCCCCTGCCTACAAGCCTGGGACAAGTGGCCATGTGGTCTCTGCTTGCATACCCCTGGCGATGGGGGGCTCACTACCTCACAAAACAGGCTGGTTGTTAGACAGTCGTGCTTTATGTTGCTGAACCTCCCTGTGGCTGGTTATTCCTAGGATTTGGCTGTGGGTGAAGGAGTCCTCTGATTGGCTGGAACCTCGCCCTCCCTGCCCTCTGACTCCTGGCCCCTCAGGGAGTCAGGAAACTGAGTTGGAATTGATGCAGGGTGTTAGGGTGCTGCCTGCGGGATTTCCACCCTGGCCCGCCTGGAGCACATTGTTGCAGCAGACAGCCCTGGAGCTGCCTGAAGCGGTGGGAATTAGTCATCATAAATTTGGGGCCTTGGGATGCCAATAGCAACAAATGGGCCAGCAGCAGCCCCACTGCCTGTAACGGAAAGGAAAACAGGCCGGTTGCTGAGACATCCCCGCTACTAACCCGCCACTCCTCGTCCTCCCACCCACTCCTGTCCTCCGGGGACAGAAGGCGGGGCCAGTGCGTAATGCTGAGCCAGGGACCCACCGGGACTGCTCAGGGTCCTGGAGGGAGGGGAGGGAGGGGCTGCACAGCTTGTCTCATCAGACTCCCCGAGCCAGGTGTCTGGTCCAGAAAGGCCCTCTCTGAGCCCGGGAGCCCCACTGAGGCCCCTCTCCTGCCGATACTGGAGATGCCAACATGGCAATGGAGATGGCTTCCAGCCTGGTCCTGGCCTTCCTCTATCACTGAGCCACCGGGAGCTGAGGCCCAGTTTCCTCATCTGTAAAATGAGGAAACGGAGTTAAAAATAAGTCTTGTATACCACTCCTCCCAGATGTCTGCACAGCTCAATCCTTAGTTAATCGGGCCTTTCCTCTGATGCCCCTGATCCGTCCCTAAACACCCTGTAACGTGGCATCTCCAAGCACCCATCCCTGAGCCTGCTTTCCTCTCTGCACAGCCCTCGGCTCCACCTGACAT